CTACACAGGTGCACATCACTGCAAGATGGTCAGACAAAAATGCTTAAGAACACCAAATATACTGTCTCAAAGTATATACATGTGGAAAGTATTTATGGTCAATGAAGATGAGAGAGAGGCTTATGGTTGGGACTTTAAAAACCCCTCATATTCAGTAACAAGGAAATAAGTTAAAATTTAGCAAATTTAAGCTCATTTTCTTCATCTTTTTGAAATTACATTAAAGTCACTGAGAATATGGATAGGTGTATTTTGTAATATTTCTATCATTTAAACAATTTCAGCTTCCCTGCCTGCCCCCAAACTACATGGTAGAGACATGCTGCCTCCAATACTTACTTCATTGCTTTCATGTATATTGTGATCAATCATTTGAAGCAGAAACCACATCACATTCCTCAGGATGAATGTGGTGATCAGGTTCCAGTGGATAATATTCCGCAGGCATCTGATACTCCTAAACAGGGAAATACATTTAAATCATCATATATAGTGAATATACACACCTGTTCATTAATGACAAGTTTATTCTGTTCACTTGCAAAATGGCCAAATCTGTGCTGCCTTTCTTCACTATATACCTTTCTTCCAGAAACCACAGCACAACTTTTGCAAAGCCATGTGCAATAATTTGCCTTGATAACATGAGGAACTTCCTTTGACAAGAACCAATTCAAGCCAGTGAAATAAGATACACCCAAAAGACTCAAATAATCAAAAGCTCATTTCATCCTTGGTTATTGTTTTTAGTCCCCTCTGCTCCATCCCATCAGCTCTATGATAATGTCAACTAGAACTGGTAAGCCCTTAAACAACCAGGCTGCACTGGAGTCTGTTGTGTTGTTCACTGAAAATCTGGTGACAAATGTGCTGGATTGGCAAAACTGGAATAGTTTACATTTGGTGTGAACTGTGTGAAGTTCAGTTTTGAGACACATTAATGTAATAGGACAGCACGGACTGTTTGGCTTTCAGCCCTGGGCTTAGTTGGCTGTAGCAAGCTTTCTAGACAAGGTAGAGCTGCATGTTCTCC